GACGCGACCTCAACGAACTCCTTCCGCCAGCTCCTTTGACCACCAACCGAGAGGCGTAGCGGAGGCTGGAAGGCGGGACAGGAAGTGAAGCCACCGCTCCGCAGGGTGAAAGGTTAGCGGAAGTGTCCTTTCTTCCTTTCTGCTGGGAACCGGCTGCTTGCTGTCGGTGAGTGGAGGCCTGGAGAGGGTCTTGCAATCCGCCGCCATCGCGGCCCCGGGATCGGGTGGCTGGGCCAGTTCCGACTCTGAGCCTCAGGCGGCTTCGTGGCGAGGCGCGTCGCCCGATCAGAACCCGCGAGCGGCGTGGCCTGGCTGGTGGCGAGCGAGCTAAAGGCGCGGGCCTACGAGCCGGGCTCGCACGCAGACAGTCGGCTCCTGGGCTTCGGGCTCTACAGCATTCTGAGCGGCTCCTTGTCTTTGTTCTACAGAAATGGGCAAGTTCATGAAACCCGGGAAAGTGGTGCTGGTCCTGGCTGGACGCTACTCCGGACGCAAAGCCGTCATCGTGAAGGTACCGGACCCTCTGCTTGCATGCGGGGAGCGGGGCTGCAGTGTGTACAGGACGGGCCGGATCGCAATCTAAATCTCCTTTCCCGGCAACTACCAGTGGGCCTGGCGGCCAAGGCGGGTGGCAAATGCATGATTGGCCTGAAGCAAGTATAAGTTGAATTGGGATCCTGACACATACTGTGATCTCCACCGAATAGGCTTTAAATATTTCATAGTGCGTTGAGCATCTTACAGGTGTGGTGTGTTATTCGTGCGGTAACTGATTTGTTTCACTTAGTAGAGTTTAGAGGTGCTGACTTACGTAAGGCCAAAGTAATCAGTGCTGCCGAAGAGTGAGCTCTAACATCCCTGGGTGTATTTTAGACTTGGCTGTTGAGGACATTAGCTTCTGCTCCTGCCACTTGAGACTGATCTCTTGGACAGATTGTTAGATTAGATAGATAGCACCTCGCATCACTCTGAATGTTTGCTTTTTCTTTTTTTCTCAAGACACGGTTTTTCTGTAGCTCTGGCTGTCCTGGAACTCACTTTGTAGACCAGGCTGGCCTTGAACTGCCTCCTGAGTGCTGGGATTAAAGGCGTGTGCCATCATTCGGGGCATGAACATTTTGATGGAACTTTTACACGCGTCTTTCAAGCTTTTGCAAAGTCTTGTGATGGGAATAAACATTGACTAACTCACAGTTACTGTCCTGTTTAGTCTTTGAGCTTAGCCTGGAGTGGTTGTGGTTATCCTCTACGGTAGTCTAGAGGTGTGGAGGGTGTGTATATTTAATGAACATACAATTTTATCAAGGTGGGGCCCAAGAGGTAATGTGATTTTTTTTTTATTTTTTTTTATTGTGTCCTTCCCCCCCCTCCCACCCAGAACATTGACGATGGCACTTCAGACCGCCCTTACAGCCATGCCCTGGTGGCTGGAATTGACCGATATCCCCGAAAAGTGACAGCTGCCATGGGCAAGAAGAAAATGGCCAAGCGATCAAAAATCAAGTCTTTTGTGAAAGTTTATAACTACAATCACCTCATGCCCACAAGGTGAGCCTTCCAAAAGTGGGAAAGTGTGGGATTTTCACTTTTTCTCCTGGGGAAGAGACAACCTTGTGGGTGCTTTGGTAAAAGAAAAGGCCAGTTTGTTCATATTCTCTTTCCCTCCTGCCTCTGGATCTGCTTCCCTCGGTCTTGAGAATGCTAAGATTGTTCAACCATACACTGCCTAGCAGATGAAAGACCTTGGGAGAGGGGGTGCTACTCTTTCCTCCATATTGGAGAATTCCTGTCTTTTTGTCCTTCCTACCTTCAGGAGTATGGTTTTATTAAGTGAAGATTGCTGCATTTGTTGTTCATTAAGGGTAGACAAGACAGTCTGATCTGCCTTCTCACTGATGATTTCCTTTGAACTGTGAGACCATGTAGTAGCTGCTGTTGATGACCAGAGTTCAATCCCTGGAGTTTATATGAGGGTGGAAGGAGAGGGCTCCCACACTGGAAAAATGACTTAGTCGTTATGGGTGCTTACTCTTGCCAACCAAGCTGAGTTTAAGTTTCAAGAACTCTCTCATGTTACATGATTCAAGGCTGCCTGTACTCCAGCTCCTGGAGATCTGACATCCTCTTCTGGATTCCCATGTGCATAGGTGCACATAATTAAACATCTTTCCACACACTCACACACTTGAGGCTGGGTGTTATGGTACACACCTTACATCTTAATCCGAGCATTTAGGTCTCGTAGATAGATCGCTCTAAGTTCTAGGCTAGCCAAAGCTATAGAGTGAAAGGTGTGTGTGTCTGTGCAATAAGTGAGTGCTGAGAATTGAACCTAGGTTCTCTGGAATAGCAGTCGGTGCTCTTAACTGCTGAACCATCTTGCCCTTCAGGCGTCCTCCAGAAATGATTTCTTTACAGCTGAGATGTACAGTTATGTAGTACAGTTATGATCCTAGTGTTTAAGCCAGGAGAGCTTCATGCTACAGACCAGCCAGAGCTATACAGTGAGAGTGTTCCGTGAGAAGCCAGTTTGCATTATTTTAACTGCTGGGCCCTCAAGTGGCAGTCAGTCCTTCCAGCACACGCTATCTCAGTATGTGGGTAGCAAAGGAACTACAGGAGTTGAGGGGCTGAGAACTGTAACTGTTGGGACCCAGCAGCATGTCTTCAAGATTCTTGCTGGAGCTGTCTTTATTTAAGCTTCTAGTTTGCTCCACTCAGGCTAGTCTGGGGTCTCACCTCAGCCTCTGGGGTGCTGGAGTTAGAGATGTGTGACACACCTGGCTAAGTAAAATCCAGATAGAGAGGTAGCCCACTGTTTTATTGATAGTAAAGTATGATGAGTCTTTTTGGGGGGGTGGGAAGGTTCGAGGCTGGCTGTCTCTGCCTCCCAAGTGCTGGGATTAAAGGTGTGTGCCACCAACGCCTGGCGATGAGTCTCTTTTAAAAGGAGTTTCAGAAATTAAGCAAAGGGACATTTCCCGCTGTTTGAGAGCATGAAAATGGATATTAAAATGTGGATTTCCAGGGAATGGCATGAAGGTGCCACCCGGCTTTAGTGGATGCTCCCCGGTGTTTTACTGAGGAGTCGGATACTGACCACCCCCGGGTCCCTCGAGGCCTGGGCTGAATGAAGTCCCTAGCTGATCCTGCCTCTGCTCCTTTTCCCCAGGTACTCTGTGGACATCCCCTTGGACAAAACTGTTGTCAACAAGGATGTCTTCAGAGACCCAGCCCTGAAACGCAAGGCGAGGCGAGAAGCCAAGGTCAAATTTGAGGAACGGTAAGTAGGTCCTGTATTTGTTGAATGCTTCTGTGAAAGAATTTGGTTTTTTGTTCCATTTTTTCATGTGTTTTTTTTTTTAATTTTTTTTCTTCCTAGATACAAGACAGGGAAGAACAAATGGTTTTTCCAGAAGCTTCGCTTTTAGGTATATTTTTGTTTCCATCATTAAAAGTTTAAAAAAACAAAAACTTGTGTCTGGCTGCTGCATGTGTATCCATAAGGGGGCTGTGGGGTGAAAGGCGCTGGAAGGTGGCAGTAGGGAAATGAAACGTCTGTGCTTTTGTGAGTCTTGATCCCTCTGGTGGATTGACCGCCTCCTTGAAGAAAGTGGTACTTACTGAACCTTTGCCGTTGACCTTTAACCTTTATTACTAATAAGGTGCAGAACAGTTGAGCATTCTGCCAAAGCAGGAAAGGGCCTGTCTCCCATAGGAACCTCATTCTGGTAACACGGGTCCTTGACTACACTGCGTGAAAGGAAGTAAAGCACATGCCTTTAATCCAGTATTCAGAGGCAGGGGGATCTCAGATCCAAAGGCCATTCTGGACTACAGAATGAAAGTGCATCCAGGAACACACCCAAGAAATGTAGACATAACCAGTGGAGAGGCGAGTTGAGACCAGACAGTGTTACATAGTGACACCATGGTGCTTAAGTGCTAATATAAGAAACTGGTCATGGTCTCAATCTTAACAGCACATTATAGTCCTGGGTCCATCCAGGAAATGGAGCAGTGTTAACCATCCTGGGGCTCTAGAGAGATCAATTGAGAGAAATCCTGGGGCTGGTTCTCTTAAGACTACAGTTTGTTTCCCAGAACCTACATCACACAGACCCATGTACAATTAAGCAGAAGCAGTCAGATCTCTGAATTGGGGGTCAGCCTGGTATGCAGAGTTCGAGGATAGCCAGTGCTACCCTAACCCCCAAGATGGCTTAGTGGATAAAGGCTGCTGACCACACGCCTAATACAAATAATTGCCCAGAACCGACATGGTACCAACTTAAAAGTTGTGTTGCCACCTTGCCTTCAATGGTGTGTGGGACCCCCTGGCCCCACAATTTTAGAAATAAGATTTGGAGCTGGGTGGTAGTGTGTGCTTGCCTTTAATCCCAGCACTTGGGAGGCGCAGGCAGGCAGGCAGGTGAATCTTAGGAGTTTGGGGCCAGCCTGGTCTACAAATTGAGTTCCAGAACAGCCAGGACTGTTAGAGAAACCCTGTCTCAAAACAACAGCATGTGTTGTCACATATCTTCATAATCTCGGGATTTTGAAAGCAGAGTGCAAAGCCAGCTAGAGCTGTTTCCTGAGATCCTGTCTTTAAAAAGAAAAAAAAAATCTAAGAAACAGATGGCTCAGTGCTTAAGAGCACAGACTGCTCATCCAGAGGTCTTGAGTTCAAGACCCAGAAACCACACAGTGGCTCATGACCATCTATATTAGGATTTGGTGCCCCCTTGTGGCATAAAGGTGTACATGCAAATAGAGCACTCATACATAAATAAAATCTTTGAAAAAAAAATCTAGAGAGGGAAGGAAATCCTACCGACTGGGTAATGTCAGAATTGACTGCCTGGGAAGTTTAGCTGGGGCCAGTACTCCCTTTGTGTCCACTAGAGCATACAACCTGCTCTCGGGCCTCAGGCTGGAGTAGGGTAGGTGGAGTTGAAGACTTGGAAGGCTCCTCCCAGGGGTGGGGCTGTGCTTGGAGGCCTGGATTCACAGAAACGAAAGTAGAAGCAAAGCTTGCAAGCAGAAGTGGTTGGAGTTTATTTTAGACATCGCTGGACCCAAAACCCCCTCTAAAGGGCCCAAGCAAGAGTTTAGTCCTCTAGGACGCTCCACCTTGTGCCCTGATCTGAAGCCTCAGCTTTTGCTAACCAGGTGACCATGTCTGTGACCCTCCAAAATGTAAGTAAGGGAGCAGGAGTGGTGCCTATGTGTGAGTGGGGGGAATATAGAGTGCTCTAGGCTCAGCTCACGCCTGCTGAAGGGCTGAAGAGAAGTAGAGAACGGGGGTCACCTTAGGCTGTGGAGCTGGTCATTTTACCTACTGCCTCAGAGACCAGGACTCTCGACACCCGCAGGTCAGGACCTTGATTATTCTGTGCGGATGCTTTTTTTTTAACCCCCGAGACAGGGTTTCTCTGTATAGCTTTGGAGCCTATCCTGGCACTTGCTCTGGAGACCAGCCTGGTCTCGAACTCACAGAGATCCACCTGCCTCTGCCTCCCGAGTGCTGGGGTTAAAGGCCTGTGCCACCACTGGTGTGGATACATGTTTTAATTCTGTGTGAATACATGTCTGGTTTTGTAGACACTTGGTACCTGCTCTAATTCGAAATAGGAACGCCCCTCAGATTTCTGTATGGACCTCTGGCACAGGTGGCCTCTGAGTGCTCGCTTCCCTCTGAGTCAGGTGGACCCTAAGCCGCTAGGTCAAGCTGTGAAGTCGGCCTGCCAGCAGCTAGTGAGGCCGCTGGAGCAAGCAGTGTCTGTCCTACAGTGGGCAGCCACCTCTGAAGAAGGATCCAGGGCAGCTTGCCTCCCCAGCTTTCCCAGACACCCCTTCTCCGTAGTTCTTTTGCTTGGAAAGCTTTCATTTGCCTCTCGGCCACAGGCTCCCAGAGCAAACCTGCCTCGTTTTGAACCCTAGTTTCTTCAGATCATGTTGCCCTGGACCAGTCATTAGCCTTTCTAGAGTTTACAGTGTAATTCCCATAGGGATATTAAACTTCTTCACAAAAGTACCTATAGGGAGGGGTAGGAAGAGAACCGTTCTGTAAACTTGCGAGCATGAGAAGGAATTTGGGCCTCGGAACCCAGGTGAAGTGTGCCCTGAGGTTTGTTGGGGAGCCACTCTGGCCTACTGGACCAATGAGAGGCCTTGCCTTTAAAATTAAGGCAGAGGCCTGGAGAGATGGCTCAGCAGTTAAAAGTATGTGTTGCTTCAGTTCCCACCACCGGCATCCATAACTTACAACTCTGGTTGCAGGGGATCCAATGCTCTCTGCAGGCCTCTCCAGGCACCAGGCATGCACACAGAGCAGGGACATACATGCAAGCAAAACATCCATAAATGTAAATGTGTGTGTGTGTGTGTGTGTGTGTGTGTGTGTGTGTGTGTGTGTGTGTGTTGTGTGTTTAAATCCTGAGAACTATTAGAGAGATAGCCCAATGGTTAAGAGAACTGACAAGTCTACTAGAGGACCAAAGTTTGATTCCCAGCATTCACATGGAGGCTAACAACCCTTTGTAACTCCAGTTCTAGAAGATCTGGCACCTTCTTCTGGCACAGACATGTGAAGGCAAAATACCAATACAGATTGAAAAAACAATCCTGGGAACTAAACTAGGTCCTTTGTAAGAACAGCAAGTGCTCATAACTGCTGGGCCATCTCTCTAGCCCCATCATCGTTTTTGTTTGTTTGTTTAAGATTTATTATGTATACAGTGTTCTGCCTGCATGCGTGCCTACAGGCCAGAAGAGGGCACCAGATTCTCATTACAGACAGTTGTGAGCCACCATGTGGTTGCTGAGAATTCAACTCAGGACCTCTGGAAGAGCAGCCAGTGCTCTTAACCTCTGAGCCATCTCTCCAGCGCTGAAAATTTTATTTTTATTTTTTTTTTATCATTATATGGGTGCCTTGCCTGCATGTATGTCTACTTGTACCACTTGCATGCCTGGTGCCTGCCTGTGGAAGATAGAAGGTATTGGATTACCTGAAACGGAGTGACAGATGGCTGTGAATCACCATATGGGTGCTGGGGATTAAACCTGTGTCCTCTACAAGAACAACCAGTGCTCTTTACTTCTGAGCCAGATCTCCAGCCCGAGATTTATTTACTTTTTGTTTTGTTTTGTTTTTGTTTTTTTTGAGGCGGAGGTTTCTTTTTGCAGCTTTTGGAGCCTGTCTTGGAACTCACTCTGTAGACCAGGCTGGCCTCGAACTCATAGATATCCGCCTTCCTCTGCCTTCCCCAGTGCTGGGATTAAAGGTGTGTGTCCGCCGCTGCTGTTGCCGCCGCCGCCGCCGCCACCACCTAGCTTATATTATTTGTATGATTGTTTTACCTGCATGTATGTGTGTGTGCCATTTGCATAACTGGTACCCTCGAAGGTTAGAAGACAATGTTGGATCCCTTCAGGGAAATTAAGGATGGTTGTGAGCCAACATGTGGACGCTGGGAAACAAACCTGAGTCCTCTGCAAGAGTAGCAAAGGGCTTTTGTTTGTTTGTTTTTCAAGACGGGGTTTCTTTGTGTGGCTCTGGCTATCCTAGAACTAGTTCTGTAGACAAGTCGGCCTTAAACTCACAGAGAGCTGCCTACCTCCGCCTCCCAAATTCTGGGATTAAAGGCATGTGCCACCACTGTGTGGCCAGCAAGTGCTTTTAAATACCGAGCCATCCCTCCAATAATGTGTCTTTTAATCACCACATAATCTTTACGCTGGGCGTTGGTGGCACATGCCTTTAATCCCAGCACTGGAGAGGCAGAGGCAGGCGGATCTCAGTGAGTCCGAGGCCAGCCTGGTCTACAAGAGCTAGTTCCAGGACAGACTCCAAAGCCACAGAGAAACCCTGTCTCACTAAAACAAACAAACCAACTACATAATCTTTATTAGTGTTTTTAGTGTGTGTGTGCCTAGGAATGCCTGCCTGCCTGTGTGTATGTGTGAGCATACTTGCTGTGGGAGCATGTGGCGGTCACAGGATAACTTTCAGGAAGCTCTCTCCTCCCATCATTGGTCTGGGGTCAAATTCAAGTCATCAGCCTTATGTGTCAGTGTTTTTATCACTAAGCCATCTCACCGGTACCCGCACACCACTACCATTTTAGTGTAATACCATTTACCCAGCAGGCAGGGGAGAGAGTTAAGCGGCTAATGAGGTATAGTGGGACTCTATTTTCAAGTATCACAAAATCGCCTCCTAGGCTGGGGGTGTAGCTCTGGGAAAGAGTGTGTGTTTAACACTTATTAAGACCCTGTTTCTATCCCCAACACTATTGGGTAACCCTCGGGGCATTTGGATTAGGCAATTAAAAAGTTATACTTATCATAAAGACAATGATCAGAAGTTCACATACAGATAAGTCCTCAACTCACAACGGTCCAGCTTTACGATAGTGTAAAGTAGCACATACTCAGTAGGAAATGTCTTTTATTTTAACTCTGAGGCAAGGTTTCACTAGTAGCATTTTCTGGCTTGGAAATCACAGTGTAAACCAGGCTGCGCTCAAGCTCACAGATCCACCTGACTCTGCCTCTCCAAAACTGGAGTTAAAGTTGTGCTCCACCACACCCAGCCAGGTATCGATCTTTGGTTTTTGATCTCTTCCATTTGTTATCTCTGCTATGGCAAACAGTCATGCGGATGACCGCTGATGCCCTGCAATGCTAAACTGTGTGACAAGTGAATTCAGAGCACTTCCCTTTGCGTTTCTAACTTCTTACCTTCTACTTAATTACAACAGGGTCTGGGTATGTAACCCAAGCTGGCCTCAAATTCTGTTTTTCTGATGCAGCCTCCCTAGTGCTGGGATTATAGTCTTTCATCACTACATCTGGTTTATTCAATACATTTGTTTATTTAGTTAGTTATTTTTGAGACAGAGTTTCTCTGTGTATCCCTGGCTGTTCTGGAACTTGCTCTGTAGACCAGGTCGGTCTCAAATTCATATCTGCCTTTCTTTGCCTCCAGAGAGCTAGGACTAAAGGTATGCATCACCACTACCCAGCTCAATACATTCTCTCTCTCTCTCTCTCCCTCCCTCTCTCTCTTGTTTTTTGGTGATAACCTTGCTTGAACAAATAAAGCCTGTCTGAGCAAGATATTACCACCACAGGGTTTCTCAGTGTAGCCTTGGCTGTCCTGGAACTCACTCTTTAGTTGGCCTTGATCTCACAGAGATTCGCCTGCCTCTGCCTCCCAAGTACCGACCACACTTTTATTTATTTATTTATTTTTTGGTTTTTGTTTTCCGAGACAGGGTTTCTCTGTGTAGCTTTGCAGCCTATCCTGGCACTCCCTCTGGAGACCAGGCTGGCCTCAAACTCACAGAGATCCACCTGCCTCTGCCTCCCGAGTGCTGGGATTAAAGGTGTGCACCACCAACGCCCGGTGGCCCGGCCACACTTCTTAAAAGTATAATTTCCATTTTATTTTTCTCAGATGTTTTGTCTTTCCTTCTTATGAGGAGACCTCTTTCCAGGGAGGGACTTTGGTGGCATATTTAAATGAGGAGTGGGGTTCGTCCCTCCAGGCTTCAGGGGATTGGTTCCTGGTTCCTGACTACCTTGCTGTGAGCAGTGGAGCAGTGCACACAGCTTCACATAGAATTTGGAAAACACATGACCATCGCAGACACTTCAGAAATGTCCCTGGTGGCAGTGGCCTCTATTATGTTCCAAATGACAAACTTCTTGGTGGCCTTGCTGTTGCATATGCATCCCTAGTATAGCAGCAAAATCAGCTAGCAGCAGGTGGCTGGGTCCTTGTTTTGGTGCCAGTGTTTTTTTCTCCTGTTTGGGTCATCCCCAAAAGTTAATACATTTTTGACTTACAGTGTTTTCATCTCACACTGGGCTTATGCCATCGTGAACAGAGAGCATCTGTGAGAAGATTAGTATTGTGGCATCATTTATAACAGGAGGAAAAGGGCAAGAGCCTGGTGCATTCCTGTAATTCCCGCACTCTGGAGGCTAAGGCAGGATGACTGCCTCGAGTTTAGGGTAAGCTGGGCTAAATAGAGACCCTGTGTCCAAAACATAGAAACAAAAAATGAAAATGTTCGCTGGGCGGTGGTGGCACACGCCTTTAATCCCAGCACTTGGGAGGCAGAGGCAGATGGGATCTCTGTGCATTCAAGACCAGCCTGGTCTACAAGAGCTAGTTCCGGGACAGCCTCCAAAGCCACAGAGAAACCCTGTCTTGAAAAACCAAAAAAAAAAAAGAAAGAAAGAAAATGTTCATGTCAAATAATAGATTAGGTGTTGCAGGTGGATTTCAGCGAGTTTGAGGCCAGCCTGGTCTACAAACACTCCTTATCACCCTACATTGATCTTGACTTGCTGAGGTAATCTAACTGGCCTGTAACTGCGCTGAGTTTGTAACCTGATGCACAGGTGTAAACAGGGACCTTTTCCGCCATTCTTTAAGCCAGCATGATGTGGTCAAGTTCTAGTCTTCCTCTGCTTGAAACACAGCAAACTCATCCAGAATGTCTGCAGCACCACCTGTCACTCACTCCACTCATTCGTCACACATTTGCTGAACCTGTTTTGTTCCAGAGACTTTTCTAGACATTAGGGATACGGATGGGATCGAGACAGGGTTGGCTCATTCCAGGCCCTTCTCCGGACAAATCTTATCAGGTTTCCTACCTACCTCCTGAGCTCCGCCAGCCAATGTCCGTGTTTTGCCACGAACAAAGGTGCATTCATTCGTATTCTCCGTGCCATTTCCCTGTCTGTTCTGTTGGTGTTCTCTTTGGACTCCCTCCAGCTCACACCAGCCTGACAGGCTGCTTGGTATGTGGAAAGAGGACAAGCTAGGAGATGGAAAATCACTCCTCTACTCAGGACTTCATTTCTTCACTGGGAAGCACCAGTTAGTAGAACCCTCTGGGCTCACTCTGCCTGTCCAAATGACTTACTTGTGACAAATCCTTTAAATCTATAAAACAAGGACAAGAGGGCATCCCCATAGTGTTGTGACTAGAATTGAGTGATAGTTGATTTGAAAGGTTTAGTTTATGTGTGGGGTAGGTAGCTCACGGAGGCTCAAGTAGGAGGCTTACTGTGAGTGTGCGGCCTGACTGAGCTACGTGGTGAGCAGTGGTCCAGGGGGGCTACATACTACCACCCTGCCTCAGGACAACTGCAGGAGGGGCTGGAGATTAGTTTGGCTGGGTACAATGCTTGCCTGGAGTAGTCCTGGGTTCAGTCCCTGGCACTGCATAACCCAGGAGTGGAATGTGTGCCTGTAATCCAGCCGTCAGCAGGTGGAAGCTGGAGTTCCAGGCCATCCATGGCCTCGCTACTCCTGGCAGTGGTGGCGCACACCTTTAATCCCAGTGCCCGGGAGGCAGAGGCAGGTGGATCTCGGTGAGTTTGAGGCCAGCCTGGTCTCCAGAGTGAGTTCCAGGACATCTAGGGATACACAGAGAACCCTATCTTGAAGGGGTGGGGAAAGAAGGCAGAAAAAGGGGGTAAGAGGGCAAGGTGCTTGCTGGGCAAGCCTGGCAACCCGAGTTTAGTCCTCAGAACCCGCAGGGAGAGGGGAACTGACTGCACAAACCGGTCCTCAGGCCCCCAACATGTACACTCACACAAATAAATGTAGAAAGCATACAGATCTAGCTTAGTCAATATTAACAAATAGACTAGGGTGTACCTCAGTGACAGTGTGCACCCTGAATGCCCAAGGACCAGGGTTCAATCCCCAGAACAACCTGAAGTTAGCACATAGTGGTATGACGCTTTGCTAGCTCCTTCTAGAAGATTCAGTTGCTTTCATCTTTGCATTGGGATTATCTTTTCTCTAAATTCCTGCTGCTCTTCCCAGTCAGCCAGAGCCACCTCCTCCTCCTCATTCTCTTCCCCCATGAACAAGGCAGGGTTTCTCTATGTAGCTCTGGCTGTCCTGGCACTCACTCTGTAGACCAGGCTGGCCTCAAACTCAACAGAGATCCGCCTGCCTCTGCCTCCTGAGTGCTGGGATTAAATGGCTGCCTTCTTATTCCCTTCTGTTCCAACAGGTCCTCTGCAGTCTTCAGGAGGAGCAATCCAGGCTCAAGACGAAGCTGCAGGAGCTGCAGCAACAGAAAAGGACACCCCTGATCTCTCCCAAAGAGGGGGTGAGGTGGGAAATGAGGTATCCCTGGTAGAAAAGGGCCGCCCAGGGGCTGGAGAGACCAGCGGTTAAGAGCATTTGGCGCTCTTGCAGAGGACATGGGTTCAGTTCCTGGCACCTCATAACTGCCTGTAACTCCAGATGCAGGTGATACAACGCCCTCTTCTGGCCTTCATGGGTACCTGGACATACACCCACAGATACATAAACACATATGTAACTACTATTAACTACTATTTCTTGCTGTGTGACCTCAAGTATGCGGCTTACGCTCTCTGAATCTCAGTTTTCTCATCTGTGATGTGAAATTACCTACCTCCCAGGCTTGTGGGAGGACAAACCCCACAAAGAGCTTGTATGAAAAGTGGCTGGTGTCGGATGGGTAGTGGCACACGCCTTTAAACCCATCACTGCAGAGGCAGGCAGATCTCTGTGAGCTTGAGGTCAGCCTCATCTACAGAAGGAGTTCCAGAACAGCCAAGGCTACGCAAAGAAGCCCTGGCTCAAAAAAAAAAAAAAAAAAAAAAAAAAAAAAAAAAAGAGAAAAAGAAAAGAAAAAGAAAAAGTAGTAGCTGGTGTGACCAGCCATCACCACACAGTCCAGCTCTTTGGGTAAAGGCATCCTGCACTGAGCATCAACTAAACAGAATTGGGGGGCACATTTTGCTCAGAAGGGAGCGGTGGGGACCTCTACTACTCTTGAAGGTTGTTATTTGTCTCCCTCTCCAACCTCCAGATCCCGTTCCCGGTGCCCGAGGTCCCCCTGGCATTCCAAGGCCGCATTCAGCAAGGCAGGCAAGTACCCAAGTTTCTGGTTTCTAACTTGAAGATCTGCTGCCCTCTGCCTGGAGGTTCTGCTATAGTCACCTTTGATGATCCCAAAGGTTAGCCTTGGGTGGGAAGAGATTGCCTGGGGGAGGTTCAGGAGGGGGGTCAGAAGGTTTCTCAGCACTGACCCTGTTGTTGCCCCTTCCCCCACCCCCCAGTGGCTGATCAGTTGCTACAACAAAAGGAACATAAAATTGACATAGAGGAATGCTGGCTTCGGGTGCAGATCCAGCCCTTGGAGCTGCCTGTGGTGACCAACATCCAGGTGACAGAATGGCAGGTTCCCTTCCCATGCAGTAGGTGGGATTCAGCAGCCGGGGTCCTATGGATGAGTGTGTCATTTGCTCTGTGTCTTGCTAGGTGTCCAGTCAGCCAGATAGTCACAGGGTGCTAGTCAGTGGCTTTCCTTCTGGACTTCAGCTGAGTGAGGAGGAGCTGCTAGACAAGTTGGAGATCTTCTTTGGCAAGGCCAAGAATGGAGGCGGGGATGTGGAGACCCGGGAGATGCTGCAAGGGACAGTCATGCTAGGTTTTGCTGATGAAAAAGGTAAGGGCCCAGCAGGGGATGCTGGGAGACAGGGTGCATGAGACAGGGAGAGAAGAGGCCAGGCCTTGATGCCAAAGGCCACCCCTTCCTGTTCCTCACAGTGGCCCAGAACCTATGCCAGATTGGCCAGTTCCGAGTGCCACTGGGCCGGCAGCAGGTCCCTCTGAGAGTTTCTCCCTATGTGAGTGGGGAGATCCAGCAAGCCAAGGTGAGTGGGGCCAAACACCTGCCCAGGGAAGGCTCACTGGGCTTCCAGACCCACCCTGTGTTTTCATGGGTTACTCCTTGTTCCGGCCTCTGCTCCCTACCACCCTGTATTCCAGTGAGCCCTTGCCTTGCCATCCGTCTTTTTCTAGATCAAATTCCAGCAAGCACTTCACTCAGTGCTGGTGACAAATATTCCTGACATCCTGAATGCCCAAGAATTGCATGACATCCTGGCGATCCACTTCCAGAAGCCCACCCGTGGAGGCGGGGAGGTGGAGGCCCTGTCAGTTGTACCCTCGGGGCAGCAGGGCCTGGCTGTCTTCACTTCTTCATCAAGCTAGGTCTGCATGTCCACCTGCTGGGGACTGGGATCACACACTGCCTAATACGCCAACAACGCAGTGTGACTGCCTTCCTTATTTCAGGCTATGAGCTCTGTAGGTGGAAGGGTGGCAGCAGGAGAGGGCAGAGTCCAGACCTTGACAGCAGTGGCCTTTCATTGACTCACTTTTTCCACTCCTTTTTTGCTCAAGAGACAGGGATTCTCTGTGTGTAGACCAGGCTGGTTTTTAACTCACAGAGATCCGCCTGTCTCTGCCTCTCATGGCTGTGATTAAAGGAGTGTGCCACCACCGTCTGGTATTCCCACTACTCTTAAAAACAACATGTGGTCAGAACTCAGGGTTTGGCTTTTTATTGACACAAACACAAAGGCAGCTGTGGTAATGGGGTGGGGGACACAAAAGCAGAAATCGCACTTCCTACGTGGAGGCCTCATTTAGACAACAGAGTGGCTGGGCCCCTCCCCTGCCTCTCACTGACGATGGCTGGAGTAACAGCTCTCCCTAATCCAAACTCAGAAGCAGAGGGGGTTACCCCTACCCAGCCTCACAGGTCCCCACTTTGACTCCAGTAGCCCAGGTCCTTGTAACTACCCCATTAGCTCCCCTGCCCAAGCTCCTCCTCCCCCACCAGTGTAAACAAAGTTTGGGGCGGAGCCTCCAAGCAGCCTCTAGGCTCTGGGAAGGCAGCAACTTCCCTGGACAGCAAAGGGAATGTGCTCTGTGCCTGGGATTCTCACTTTGGTCCTAGAGTAAGACCCAGCAGTATCTCCCAGAACTCTGGCTGGTCTAGCTTCCTGCCTCTTTCCTCACCACCAACAGAGACGGGATAGGGCACAGACCACAGTAAAAGCAACTGATCCCCAGAGGCTGGAGCCGACCCTCCCACCCCTGGAACATCACACAGATTTTTGGCAGTGTTGTAGGACTGGGGAGGAGAAAGGCCTCAGCTCCACCAGGACAGGGAAGGCACTGGGGAGAAGAGAGTGGAAAAGGAGTCGGAGACAGGACCCCCGCCCCCCATAAGAACAGGTTTCCAATGCTAAGGCACTGAGACAAATCCAGAGACCTCAGTGAAGGGGAAGGGTGCCCAGTACCCCTCCCAGAACCGTGGGCTGGGGGCTGGTCTGACTCCTGCCCTCGCTGGAGGACGGAGCCTGGGCTAAAGGCAGCAGGCTGGAGGTGGAAGAAGCCAAATTGTGCTTAAGAAATGTGTGGCAGGAGACAAGGTTAGGTACTGATCAAGTCCAGGGGCGGGCACTCGTTGGCCTGGGTTGCGGGGACACTACAGAGACACAGGTCCATGCTGGACTCACACAGATTAGCCCCACATCCTGAGCTGACACTTAGAATCTTTGGGGAGGTGGTGGGGCAGCAGGGAAGGCGAGGCAGAGGTGGAAGTGGACAGGACAGGACGGGCAGGGACTGGCTAACCTTGGCACAAAAGCAGCATGGCAGGCCCAGGGAGAGGGTAGGGGGCAGGAAGCAGCTTCCTGCTGACCCTCCCTGTCCCCTTGGCAGGGCCCAGACATCCAAGTGGTCACTTCCCAACCTCTTATGAGGACAGGAAGGGGGGGGGGAGCCCTGAGCAAAGAGCAAGCTCAGAGCAAGGACATGGTCACCAGCAGGATGAAATGTAAGAGGCTGGTGGGCAACACAACAGGGCTTCCCATCTTCTCCCGTCCCGGCTCTCAAGGGCCCTTAGCCCTTCGCCCTAGGCCTCCTTCTCGGGTCCAGGAACCAGGAGGACCTTGCCCACATTTTTCTTTTCCTGCATCTGCTTCATGGCATCAGCCACCTGGATCGGAAGAGAAGACCACCACTGATGCCATCTGTCCCATCTCACGAAGCCAGCCCCAAGAAGATGGTTCCTATCTGGCCCTAGGATCCTCTCCTGAGCCCCCTGCAAATTCTGAGTTCTACCAGGACCCTTCCCAGAGTCATCACACTCACCTTATCGAAGGGCCAGACCGAGTCAATGCGTGGTTTGATGTGGCCCTGATTGTACAGAGCCAGGAGCTGGGTAACCACCTTACTGATCAGTTCCACCTCACTCTCCAGGTAGCCCAGGTGGAAGCCACACACAGCTCGGTTAGCCTGCAGCAGCTGCAGAGCAGTCACGCTGAACTGATTCCACCAAGTGCGGGCCATGGCCATCAGGTTCCTCTTGGGGCCCGTCAGCAAGTTGGCCATCCCTAAGGGACAGAGTGACATGGCTTATGATCTAGCTGCCAGGTACATCCCTGTATGTTTGAGTCCAGGCTTGTCTAGCTCCTCGATCTCCTTGCGACATTCAACACCAGGGCAATCCCGGTTACCAGGCCCAAACTTAAGTCTTGCTCTCTGGCAGATAAAATGGCATTTACCTACATTCTCACTACTCAGGAGGTGGAGGCAGGAGGATCAGGAGTTTAAGGCCATTCTCAGCTACATAGCAAGTCTGAGGCCAGTCTGGGCTACATGAGATTTGTCCATACACGTGCACATACATGCGTGCTCGCACTCGTGCGCGCGCACACACAAAATGAGCCCCTGATACGATTCAGTGCCAAGCTTGGCAACCAAAGTTTCATCCTCAGGACCCACATGGTGGAAGAAGAGAACGGGCTCTGGCCAGCTGTCCTCCAAGCCCCACATGTGTACCGTGGCACCCATATGCACACACAATAAATATTTTCAAAAAATTTCACATACAAGGGCTGGGAAGGTCGTTCAGTTGGTAGAGTGGTTGCCTAGCCTACCCTTTATAAGTCAAGAGTGTGGTGCAAGCATGAGCCTCAGCATTTGAGAAGAGGAGGTAAGATGACAAGTTCAGGTTCATCCTTGACTAGAAAGTGGGTTTGAAGCCAACTTGGGATACTAAAACTTTACTTCAAAGAAGAAAAAAGAGTCGGGCATGTGCATGCCTTTAATCTCAGCACTCTGGGAGGGAAAGGCAGACAGATCTCTGTGAGTTCAAAGCCAGCCAGAGTGGTTACATAGAGAAACCCTGTCTCAACGCCCCCAATTTTGCCCCCGCCACCCCAAAAACTCCGCAAAACACTGGAGAGCTAGGTGTAGTAGTGCACATGACTTTAACTCCAGTGTTTGGGAAAGAGATCTCTGTGAGTTCCAGGCTAGCCAGAGCTACTTAGTGAAACCCTGCCTTGAAGGGGAAAAACAAAAGATTAAGATGCCATGGGACTGTTGCTTCCCAGGAGGTGTGGCACTCCATAACTCAGTACTCAGGACATGAAGACAGAGAGAATCAGGAGCCCTGGGCACAGAGAGAGAACACACACATACTCTCTCCCGAAATTCCTCTCATATTTATATATTTTGTGTGTGTGTGTGTGTGTGTGTGAAAAGTAGATCTTAAAGACCCAGCTTGCCCAAGTGGCACTGCAGGAAGAAGGTGGACAGGCTGGTTTTGCATCAGAAATAATCCCCAAATAGGAACGAAGAATTACCATGACTCACAGGAAAAGTTGTGAAAGAGAATGAGAGTGGCTAGCACCCAGAGGCAGCAATCTCATTCAAATATCCAGGACCGTTCCAAACCCTGGCTATCACTGGGGAACTGTGGAGCCTCCACCATTCCTTCTTCATTCAAAAGCTCAGGCCCCTGTATCCCACCTTATTAATGGGATTCAATTATTAATTAGCCCCACCCTCCTGCCCAGTGCAAACTCTCTGCATCTGAGACAACTAACCACTCACCGTAAGTGACAACTTTGCCCATGGGTTTAAGGAGGTGGTAGCCCTTGGCTGTGTCTGACCCACCCAGGGGGTCCATGACGATGTCCACTCCTGTCACAGAGTAAGGCAGGGGATATTAATATCCACAGATCTGGAGACTCCCTCTCCCTGTCCCACACCGTCCTCCTCACTCCCAGGCCCTGCCCCACCTTTGGGGGAGATCTTCTTGATCTCATCCACATAGTCAGTCGTGTGGTAGTCGATAGCATGTGTGACCCCATTCTCCTTCAGCACCTCATGCTTGCTGGCTGAGGCTGTTCCGAACACTGTCACATTCTCCACGGTGCGGCACAGCTGCAGGGCTGCCATGCCTACCCCACCTGCAGCACGAGCAGGCACAGAGTCACTTAGCTAGCATTCTCCACTCCAGCCTCCCAAAGACCGCCAGTCAGTCCATCACTTCTTTGTGCCTCCACTCCTTCTGGGGCCCATGTTCAAATCCCATAACTGAGAACCGGAGAGAGAGAGTCTGGACAGGAGAAGGTGTGGGGTGTGGGCACGTTGTTAAGGACAGCAGGCTGGACCTGGTGTCTAAACGTTACCACGGCAACTATACAGCAGAGGCCTCTGGGCTCCACAGGCCAGGCAGCCTGATGTTACCATGACAACAAACCAGACAGACTACAGAAAGGGGCCAGGAAGGGAAATCAGGGTGGGGTAAGAAAGGAAGGGACCTGTCACCTGCAGCCATGTGCACCAAGACGCTGTGGCCAGGCCTTAGGTTGCCGAAGTCAAAGAGAACCATGTAGGCGGTGATATAGTTGACCAGCAAGGCAGCAGCTTCCTCAAAGGTCATGGCCTCAGGCATCAGGAAAGTCTGGGCTGATGGCACGGTTACCTCCTCCTGCCACATCCCTGACCTCTTCAACACCATCACCCGGTCCCCTGGCTTAACGAAATGGAAGAATGTCATTTGATTGTTCATTCATTAACCCACAGGTGACTTCTGGCCTTCGCCACGTCCCACAACGGTGGAGATAAAGCAGCAGAGACGCAGCAGCAGTGGCCGTAGCATTCACAATAACAGCGTCACTTACTAAGTGTTTATCTAGTGCTTCATATGGAAGCGCTCAATCCTTACATCAGCTCCGGGCCAGCCTTATCTCCACGTAACAGACCATACACTTCATTATTGTGTAACATCTCTGAAACTTCCAGTTAGGGCAAGCGCAAGCATTGTTAAAGAGACCAAACCGATTTGATTACCAAAATGGGCCCCACCGTTTTAATGACAATGTAGCCTGGAGTAAATAAAAATTTAACCAGTTTCCTTATCTGCATAAGGGGAACTGTAAGAATTAACAAACAAAACCCCAATATTCAGTGACACTTAGAACATTGTCTATCATACATTTAATATTACCAATGTTAGCCAACAATAATAACAGCAAGAAGGAGAAGTCATCAAGTAGCTGAAGAAAGAGGGTTGCACATAGCAGGGCCATGGCGAAATTCAGGTTCAATGTACCTGGGTTGTAAATGGTAAATGGTTGGTGTGACCACCCCAGGGGCAGCCCTAGAAAAAACATATGCCCAGACATGGCACAAAAGGGTGGTGCTCAAGAAGAGGCAACCCATTCCAGCCACAGGGAAAAGGCATTGTCCTTCATTCCCAGTCACTTGCACGAGGGTCTCTCTGCAGGAGGAAAGGGGACAAAGACAGAAGAATCCCTCCGGCAACTGGGCAGGAGAAGGGAGGAGTCTCAGTCAGCCTGACTCTCTGAAGTCCATGCAGAGAGAAGAGAGGGAGCTGTCCTAGACAATTAGGACCCATCTTAGCTCCTGCCAGGAAATGTAGGATCCACAGGGTAGGAGATTCAGACCTCCTACATCAAGTCCCCACACTCTACTGAAAAGGACACCTATTCTGTGAATTCTGGCCTGGGGGTGAGGTCTGGGGAAGGAAGCTCCCAAACTCAAGTCTAGCAGACACAGTAGCAACCCAAGAAAGCTAGCAACAGGGCAATTTCCAGTCGGACTAATGGCCAATCCCAGATGTCTAGAGCAACTGTCACCTTGTCTGGCTCATACCTAACCTTTAGCCCTCCCAGTTCAGGGCCATGACCCCTCCCAACGCAGCCACTAGGAGGGTGGGAAACCCTCCCCACAGAATCCAGGCTCTTAAGCAGATTCCTGCCCTCGGCAGGATATCCTGTATTTACCAGGCGGAAAGTGTGGGGAGTGGATACATGGGTGGCCTTCGGCAGTAACTCGAACTGTTAACTTCCCCTTTCACCCCCTCCTCCCAAAAATTCCTTTCAGCATCATCCAAGAGTAGGATTATTTCTAAGTTAGGGCAAGGGTAGGACCACAGCTGGATTCATGGAGGAGGGCTTTAAGGAGGTGCTGTTTGCCTGTTCAACAAATCCAGCAAACCCAGCAGGTTAGCAAAGGCAAGATTCGAAGACCGCTTTGGAGAGGCTTCTCCCGAAGGTGCCAGATTTGAAAAGAAACTCCCAAACACATGATATGAAGAGGCCTCACCCCAGATCTCTCAAAAAGCTGGTCATCTGTTAAGTCTCATGTGGCCGAGGTTATGGCTGCGATTAATGATAAATGAGAAACAGACCGGCAAAGCTGGGCCAACCTGCTCAAGGTGCCACACCTCTCTACCCTAGTCCAAACGGGCTCCACCCGCCAGGGTTTCAGAGGCTGGGGTCCTCCGAAAGGGAGGTGAAGATGGTTTGGGCCGGAAGTTCCAAAGGGTAGCCCCGGGTCGTGGCCTGCCCGCTGAGTCACTGGAGATGAGATGGGGTTGCAGTCACGAGAACGAGCCCAAGACAAAGATGGGAGCCCGAACCCACTTCCTCCACGCCAAAACCCTTAATAGTGTCAGGCCCGTGGGGATGGGTGGGGGGCGGGAGAAAGCGAGGCTCTCCCAGCTCCATGATGGGTGTGTCCCCTCTGGCCCAGCTCGGGGAGGGGCCGCCATACACCCCCATACACCACGGGGCTGCATGTGACTAGCGCTCTGGCACGGCCTCTGCGCCCCCGCCTAACCCCGTCTACACAGCTTCTCAAAGCTCCCTCGGGAGGGAAAGCCGGAGCCAGACATCACTCGGAGTCACGGACCACAACTGCTCTGGGAGTGTTTAGCGGGCAGGGGCACAGGTGTGGTTTTACTAGGGGAGGGGGCGAGCAGGTCATCTTGCGCATGCGCCTGGGCGCCTTATTGTTCCCCCCCCCTCCCCAGTAACTCCGCTCGGGGCGGCGGCCACAACTAACAAATGGTTGGGGAAGGGGCAATAACGCCGTCGCCAGTCGCCCAGCAAATCCTTTTCCTCTAAGCCTCAAGACATACGCTGTTTTCCCGTGCGTCCCCGGTTAGTCCATCCGCGTCCAGCCACACCCCCAGCACGCGCCCACTCCTGCCTTGCAGCCGCTCACCTTACGGTCGCCGACACCCTCGCCCACGGCCACCACCACGCCCGCGCCCACCAGGGGGGGGGTGACCGGCAGGGGGGGGGGGCGCGCG